GAAAGTACATACCCTTCATTTTTCTTACGCCGATTCTTAAGTTTACCCACTTTCAACCACTCAATGAGATCCGAAGTTAAATCAAACCGCATCGTGTCTCAAAAATCAGTGTCAAAAGGGCATGACTTACAAATAACTTGTCTTTTTTTTTACACGTTTGATTTTCTCAAATGGAATGTCGACCACCGACACAAGATCATCTACATTTTGGTTACCCCGTATACCAATATCAAGACCTCCAATAACACCAGGAGTGTCCTTCATTAAAGAAACATAACTGATCAATAGCTATGCATAAAAATAATAAGCTATATACTTCGAGGAAAACATGAGGTTTACTTTACGACATCGAAAGGTAAGATAAACTGTGAATAAAATTTTTGACTTCAGTTCAAGGAAAACATGAGGTTTACATGTAGACATCAAAAGGAAAAAAACACTACAGATAAACCAACAAAAAACCACAGATAAACCACAGATATATATATATAAGTATAACCACAGATAAACCAACAAAAAACCACAGATAAACCACAGATAAACATAACAGATCAATAGCTATGCATAAAAATAATAAGCTATATACTTCGAGGAAAACATGAGGTTTACTTTACGACATCGAAAGGTAAGATAAACTGTGAATAAACTTTTTGACTTCAGTTCAAGGAAAACATGAGGTTTACATTTAGACATCAAAAGGAAAAATACACTACAAATAAACCAACAACAAACCACAGATAAACCACAGATATATATATAAGTATAACCACAGATAAACTAACAAAAAACCACAGCAAAACCACATATATATATATATATATATATATATATAAGTATAACCACAAATAAACCAAAGATAAACCAACAAAACAACACACAAAAAACAACAAATAAAACCAACAAAAAACCATATTGAAACATTTTCATGAACAGTTGTAAATATAGAAGTATATACACAAGAGTAAAGTCATATTACATTTTTGTTGGCACTTAGCATGCTTTTTAATTTTCCCTCGGTCGTCCTATCAATCTCATCCATCATTTGCGGGGTCAAAACAGGGAAACCATCAACATCGAAATCTACATTATGTTCACCATTCCCTTGTACAAACTGAGAAACATATCAACCAAATAAAAAAAGGATTACTGATTTTAAATGTAGACTTAGTTGTGATCATAGAAATAAAATCAAATAATTACACTTACAACTTCAGCATCAACTTCCTTGTGGATCCTAACGTTTTCTTGATGACGACTACTTTCTGGAACATCGTTGGGCTTAGCACCTTCTCCATCATTTAATCCCTTAGAAAGTAAACACAGTTAACTTAGATAAAAAATAAATTACGAAAACTCTGATGATACAGAATAAATTTAACTTAGATATGTTATGTTAAGAAGAAAAAATTGTAGATTGAGCATAAACCGTTCGAGAAATATCTTGGTTATCCACATCATGGGGGAGATCTTGTTGTTTACCACTTTCTTCATGCTGATACATAGTTAAGTGAAAATATTAAAAAAAGAAACACATGTATTCCATGTATATATATATGTAAAAGTAAACCAAAAATAGACCAATTATAAACTTACCAACATTGTTTCTTTAAGACTGAGTATCTCATGCATCACTTTAGTCGAAAAGTCAGTAAACGACTTCTTCAAATCATCCAAATCATTCATAATCTTCACTTGCTTTGAAGACAACTCGTTTAAACGTCGTATAAAAGGAGACTCGGTTGCACCGGGAACAGAGAATGTAGGAGTACTTTGAGATTCATTACGGATGAACTCGTTCCTTTCGACAAAAAAACCGTCCAGCTGAAGGATCGTCTTCTCCGATTCGGTGGGAGTTATATTTTTGAACTGTAGGGATTAATACACATTAAAAAATAAAAGAACTTAAAGCAATGTTATGAAAAGATAACTTAATAGTAAAATATTATAATAAGCAACTAATAGAAACCTTATCTGATGGCAAGGTCAAGAAAACCCTCTGGATGAGTCGTCTACCACATCTCATGTGTGCCTCCCAATTTAACATCCGGGGCACATTAGGAACTGAAAGACGGGTACATATGACTCCATCTGTGCTATCACACACCTCATAAAACCACACCTGAAGCGATAGAATAAACCCACGTATCCTATAAAGATATACTCTTTTTTCAGTGCCATCTAATTTCTGAAGCAAAGACTCCTTGTTACGAGACGACATCTTTAGATAATCAAGGGTGTAGTCGTACACCTCTTTACCCCACGGATAGTTATCACAATCTTGGCTATCAAGAATATCTAAGAAACACCTATCAAACAAAAGATTATCCTGAGCACCCATGAGAAAATTCGCGAGCAAGTGAAGCTTGGCCAGTTTCACTCCATCATGGTCATTTATCCACGCTCTATTAAGAAATAGACATTTAATAGAATGACGGTTCAAGCCAACATTGGCGAAATATCTGTCAAAAAGACCATCAGGGACGGGGGGGATAACAAAGCTTTTTACATAAGCCATTACAATTTAGACCACTTATCACAGCGAACTCCTCAACCCCAAATCTCATGATCTTCCCACCAAAGTCAAACCACATTTCATCTAACCTCGGTTGGTGTACTTCTCGTAATGAAATCAAATTGACAAGTTGATTCTGAATCTTATAATGAGGTAGGTCTATAAATTTACCAAAAGCAGAATTTCTAAACACCTCCAATTGATCGTTGGACAACAAACGCTTAATGTCAGCAATAGGTGTGGTAGAACGACTGTTATCATTGCTGTTGATTATCTTCACGATCAATGCTCTTGAGTTTGGAAAAAGCAATTCCCAATCCTAATGAAAACAACAAACAATTGATACCAACAATAGCAGTAAAACATATAAAATAGATCTAACGAGTTTATACAGACATGAACATTAGTACCAAAAATGACATTATTTGCTTGTCAACATAGATAGCAACAATTTTTGTGAGGATCAACAAATAAATCAATTAAAAAAAAATTGGACAATATTAAAGATAAATTATATGAACACTGATACTAAGAATAATACTTCTAAAGGAAAAAAATACCTTGTGTTCTCTTTGGTGTTTATTCCTGGCATCTTCATCTTCAAACTCGGAACAACTCGATTTATGCCTATGTGTGTTGCCCTTGGACCTCCTCAGTACTGATTTGTTAGCCTCAGAGCTATCCTCACTTTCTTCTTCATCCACAGGAACACATTGTTCAACTTCGAAATCAGAATCGATGTCATCTGGATATTTAACCTTCCTCTTCCCATTAGCATCTCCGTTTCGCTCCATAGCATTCTTCTGAGAAAATCGCTTCTTCTGAGCACTGGAACGAGTTATCGAACATCTGACATGCGAGTGTTCTCCAATACCTTTGGTCTGCACATTCTTCTTGCCAAACTGAATTTTCTTTTAAACAAGCCTCCGACGGCGCTGAACTTCAACTTTCCGATGATTTTGCTCCAGATTTCCTTCACCTCCAGATGAAGTATCAGAGACATAATTTTCATCCTCAACTTTCGCCATTAATTCATCTGCACAATTGATTTTTGGATTTTATTTTGAACAAATTAGGGAAGAATGAAGAAAAACGGTGAGCATCGACATCAATTGAGATCTGCAATTTTTGATATGCGTGTGGGCAGGAAACGTGTTTGAGAAGAGCCAAATCTCGAGAAATCTTGAGATACGGTTTTATTCACATTAATTAGCACTAATTAATCAGATTCCAAAAGTGGAATTGAACGTGTACTAATTTCGTATTTTCCAACCGGACAAAAGTTAATTGCGAAGATTTTTTGATTCTCGTTAAAATGGCAAAATAAAAATATTTGTACGTCTCCGGGGTAATTTTTTCAATTAATTTTTAATATTTTAAATAGACATGTTTTGTGTTCTATACAACAACAAAGCAGCATTAAAATTCCACTAAGAGGAGTCGGCTATATGGATTACATGTCGCCGTCGTGCTAGATCAAAAAACATACCCTCGTTCAAATTTAAATATTTTTAAATCTTTTTTATTATTTCCTTCCAAATTTTTGACTCTAATGTTTTGTTGACTCTAATGTTTTGTGTTCTATACGCAAATTAATTTTTATGTAGCCTAAATTGTAGTATGAAAATAGAATAGTTACCACGTACGTAGTGGGTCATAAATCTATATCATAACCACATAATAAAAACACACCCGGACATGAAACAATATATATATATATATATATATTTTAAAGAGGAACGAAACAAAATAATTTTCACAAGCTTGCATCTTAACTACCTGCTACCAACTCTAATTCCATGAAAACGCAGCACACCAACGAACATGACAAAGAGGCAACTCCATGTACCAAATTTCCTGTGCTTAATGAAACAAACAAGACAAAATGCACTGTGGACAAACATTATGCCACCAAAAGAAATACTCTGACTTCCAAAAATATCACTGCCAACAGAAAAACATTCCCAATCCAAAGAGATACAAAGTCAAGGACTTCAATTGGCAAATACGGGCGCATATAAGGGCCACTTGCATTCCTTTCTTGCCCTTCGATTGCCCAATTTTGCACCAGTTAGCCAGTAGCATAAGTACTTGTGAAATGAGTTGGCTTTAATGATAAATCGCACGACTCTCAAACAATTAATGTACTAAACTGACATATGGAAAACAAAAAGATATTTCTGCAGCATCACTAAGCAAGCAAAACGACTCATAATTTCGCAAGTTCAGCGAAGAGAGAGCCGCTAACGCACCTAAAGGTAATTTTCAAACAATTAACGTATTAAACTGACATATGGAAAACAAACAGATATTTCTGCAGCATCACTAAGCAAGCAAAACACCATATATATCTAACAAGTAGCCATAATGACCATTGCAAATATTTCTAAATCCTTCCAGACAACTATTGGAAACAAAAAGTAAATCTTGTAACATGAATGCGAGAGCCACAGGATCTACTAAAGTAAACGCACCCAATGATTTATACATTGTTTAAGTGTTTAATGTGTACAATGATGATTGTTATATCGTCTGTCCGATTCTCGTTCTCTAACCACAATTTGTAAGATTCATCCGCTATTGCAGCACAAGCTCACCTGGGATCAGCATATTTATTGACCTGCATGAACGGTAAAAAAAAATCAGATAAAAGTGATAATATGAAGATTGTCTGTCTAACTGATAGACTGCGGGAAGCTGTGGATTTCTAAATATCGTAACTAGTGCAAGTGAGAGTGGAGAAACAATAATCTCTCCCCCTCTCTCTCCACAAATATGCAGATCTATTCTATACAGCTGAGAGCAATCAAATCAAAATGAAAACAAATCAAGTAACCAAAACGAAAATAAATCCGATGTTCCTTTGGTTATGGCTATGAGATATTTCCTTTTAGTACACAGACTAAGCAAAAGTGGATTAAACATAGCAACTACTAGTATTAACACAGGGACAACTCGTCACTAAAACATCAATCAGTCATTGCCATGTGATTCCAAATTTCCAACAGACACCAAAAGCAACAAGCAAAAAAAGTCGCACTTCCAAAAAATCGACTCGACAAGCCTTAAATCCGTATCAATCACTTTCAACATTATGGCTTGATAAAAACTCGAAAACCCCATCACTGGCGATCAAGAAAAACAGATGATCAGCCGTGAGCCTCACAGTAGAAACCTCAGGATCCGCAACTACTCCAATCTTCTCAGCCATACTGTCTCCCACACTCCTAGTAAATGCAGTCCCAGGGTACATCCCATCCTGTACCCACAGCCGCGGAGGATCGGCCCCTTCAGTCTCCTCATTTCCCCATGACTGTATACTCGGGTCCTTTATCCCTTCCACCTGGTCTACAGTCTACACTCAAAACCCTAGCCCCACAAAGCTTAACTCTCTCACACTCGTCCTTTCTGAATGGGGTTTGATCTCTGGACAGGTCTTGGGCAAGAACTCTGTCTCCTTCCCTGACTCCCAGCACAGCCCGCGAATCTCCCACATTGGCTACATACAGTTTGTCCCCAATCACAAGGGCTGTAATTGCAGTTGTGCCACTCATGGAGTCGTCTACCTCGCTGGCGTGGAGCTCGTCGTTTGTTGCCAGAAAGGCCGAGCTGTAGGCGTTGATGGGATCGTCCGGTAAGGATGGGTTTTCAGAGAGTTTCTCGATTAGCCTGTTTTGACGAAAGACGAGCACTGGGTCCCACAGAGACCGTGCCCGTCGTAAACCCCGAAGAAGTGGACGTTAGGGTTTCCCTGGACGGCGGTTTTCACGCAGTAGCTGTCCTGATTCTCCTTGTTCGGGGCTTCTGGGTAGTAGCCGCGAAGGCTGAAGGCGGCGTATGAAAGCCGGATATGGTGGGAGGGGATGTTGACGGCGTCTAGGGAAACGTCGGATGCGGGCCCGCGGGGGTTGTTCGGGCCGGGGAAGGCGCCCGATTCTTCTTCTTCCTCGTTGTTGTCGCCGTCGGAGGAGGGCGAGCAGGTACGGCAGCATTTGGCCTGAATGCAGCCCATTCTGCAGCGGAAGTTGTGGAATTTGGGGAAGAAAGTCGCGCTCGAGCACCAATTGCTCGGGAAAAGTCCTGAGAGAAACCTAGGCATGAAGATGGCGGCTAAACCCACGGGTCAGACGGCGAAAATGGCTCCCTCGAAACCAACATTATCGGCGTTGGGCGACGAGGACTGTGCAAAACCCAGAGGAGGAGCGGTTAATTCTTGATCAGACGCAAAAAAAGCAAAAGGGGGGTTTGTTTTCAATTGGAAAGGTCCTTGCAATTGGCGAATGGAATAAAGGCAATCAGCAAGAAATGATGAGAGAGGGAAAGGAATTTGGAGTTGAAATTGGGAAGACTCGTGCTTTTGGACAACAAGATAGGGGGAAATTGACAGTAGACGTGAAAGCGTGTGTTTGAGATCACTCGGCCAAAACAATATTTAAAAAAAGAGTGGAAATCAATTTAATTCATAAAAATTCATAAAAATTTTGACAACACAATTTAATTCATAAAAATTGCATAATTACTTCATGCCTAGTGCACGCATAGTTCAAAAACAACATCTATTGCATATGATGATTGCATATTTAATCATAAAATATAATACATATTTAGTTCATATATAATACATATTTAGTTCATATTCGTTTAATAGTTTTGAGTGAATATTTACTTATATACAATGCATATTTCGTTTATGCATAATTTATAGTACATTCAATGGTCAATTCCTTGGTCAACTCTGGCGGCCTAGAAGTCAACGGTCAAATTAATATTTAAATAATTAAAGCAAAATAAAAGATTAAATCTTAGCCACAAATCTTGTTCCCTATTTGAAAAGACTATGATGGGACCTCACATTCTCATTTTAAGAATAGAGACTCATTTGATCCAAGAAACAGTAGGATCGAACCGGGTGAACCGGCTGGTCGAGCAAGAGACTGGTGTCTGGTCGAGGAAGGTGTAGCGAACCCAAGGAGCACCAATGGGTCGAATTAGAGCCCTCGGATGGACTGGCCGAAGATCGACATGGTAAGCGGGGCCTATGAGTTCGGTATCGACAACACTCCACCTCGAAGTAATCTGAATCGGTCGTACGATTACGGTCTAACAAAGAAGACTAAGGAATAAAAAAGAATATTATTAAGATAAGATCCACACGTGGATAGGGCCACGTGACTTAACAGAATTGGACAGTTCAGACAGTACGAACGGGTAGTTTAACAGTTCGAGCAGTACATTCAATTAATCTTGGGCAACAAGATTACAAATCTGTATGTAAGGGGGTGAGGTACGTCTGTGATTATATTACATTCTCTACATACTTGCATACTATTCATCATCTTATACACATCTCTAACTTAAGCATTGGAGACTCATCACTGGAAACCCCTCCGGTGTCGAGATTTTGCTGGTATCGAAGGTCATCCACGGACGAGGACAGAACACGCCGAACCAATTCGATCGAGGGTCTTTTACATAACATTTGGCGCCATTTGTGGACAACTCGTTCAAAAAGCCATCAACCAGATCCATCCATGGCGAGTAAGATTCCTAGAAAAAAATAAGAGTCGTCTCCGACCCCGACAACCCCGACACTTCATCTTGAGGGTTGGGGGAGCTCATCGATGGTCCCTACCTTAGCAGCAGCTCTAAGTAGCTAGAGAGAGGTTAGATCTAGCCAGGAGGTCGTGGTTCCACTGCTGGGATCTATAAGGATCGTCGATAATATGCAAGTTATAATTTTATCTACGAATTAATATATGCGCAGCGGATCTATAAGTTAAGATAGAAGACTCACGATTTAATATTTTACCGACTCTGAGACGCTGTAGATATCCGTTGTTGGAGATCGTCTGAACCTCAAAGTCCGTTGGGGTAGCCGGACTTGGCTTCGTCGGAGCTTCGCGGGTAACGTATGTGCGATCGAGAGCAGCAGGTCGCGAACGGGCTCTGGGGAGGATGCCTCGGGTCGTCTGGGCGTCAAGCGGGTCTCGCGGGTCGCATGGCATCACGAGGCTGCAGGCGTCGTGGGTCTCGGCATCATTGGGAAGCAGCAGACCATCACCGGGCGCGAACGGGTACAATGGGTCATCATCGAGATTGAGCAGGTGGCGTCGCATGGGCGATGCGAGAGAGAGAGAGGGCTAGCCCGAGCTCAATTGCCGCTGAGAAGGCAAAAATTACACAGATCTGAAGGCTACGGCGGAGATTGACGAGGAAGAGAGACGGGGGAGTTAGGGCTACGGCTACTTACTTATTCTTGTTCATCATATAATACTTAATTATTATTTTATTATAAAATTTGTTGTCATATAATATCATTATTATTTGTAAAAGTTATACAAGTTGTACGTCTTCATATTTTATGTAATGAAAAATATTTAATGCACGTTAGTCTTTTTATTTACGTAATCAATTTAAAGTATGTAAATAAATTTAAAATTAAATAGTGTATAAATGTTTCACAAAATATACACACATGTTTTTTTAGAATTTAATTTTGTATACTAATTAAACAACTTTGATTTAGCAAATGCCAAAAACTCAATCCCTTCGATAATCAAGATTTTTCTAATTTGCATTATAAAGATTTATAGTTTATTTAGCATATTCTGCAATGAAAATATATTTTACAATAATTTTATTATAAAAAGAAATCAAAATAAAAAAAAATTAAAAAGATAATCATGGTTGCCAATAATATACCAATAAATTCTAAAGAACAGTTAATACATTTCAATTTTAATTTTTGACCATTAGTAAAACTATTTAATGTATCTGGTCATTATCTCTTAAATGGTAAATTATATAAATTTAAAGAAATAAAGCTTAAGAAGAAATTATATTGGCAAAGATTAATTCACCAACTTGATTTCGCCTGATTAATTGAAAAAAAAAATAAAATTATACCTAACCTGTTACGATTTTCTATAAATACTTTTGGATAAAAAGTGAATATTTGTGAAAAAAAATAATATTATGATTAGAACTTAAAATACGTTGTAATATTTATCTTGGCCAAATGAATCAATCTTGTAATTTATTATAATGGATATCAATGAAATTGTTGCAGATATTAATAAAATTATTTAAGGAAACAATATTTTTGATCATATCTGATTATATCTTATTCGATCTTATTTGAAAACATGTATATGAAAGCAATTAATGCATATATTAAAAAAGTTTCTAATAAAGGTATACATTAAATGCTTCCAAAACTTTTTACTACTACTTTTAGTAAATGGTTATTCTTATTATATAGATATATAGATATAGATTTCTAACATGTGTTACTTATATATAATGTCAACAATGATTATTACCTTTTTTTTATTTGATTTATTTCCATAATAAAATTCTTGTAAAATATATTTCCATTGCTTAGTATGTTAAATAGATTATAGTTCCTTATGATGCAAATTAAAAACAATCTATTGATTATAGAAGGGATTTAATTTTTAGTAATTGCTAAATCAGAGTTGTTTAATTATTATATAAAATTAATTTCTAAAAAATGTGTTTATATTTTATAAAATATTTATACACAATATTTTATTTTATATTTTACTAATTTAATAAATAATATTAACATACATTAAATATTTTATTATATAAAATTAAAAAAAGAAGACTACTTTTATACCTTTTATAAAAAAAAATTATAATGATATTGTATGGCAACAAATTTTATAATAAAATAATAAATTAACTGGTATATGATGAACAAGAATATTTTGAACTATTATTTTTTTTTTTATATCAATGAATAAATACAAATAGTAAATTAAAATTTATATTAATATATTAATTAATTTACAGATTAACCATGCCGTACTTGGATTACCATGCCGTACTAGTTTTAAAGAGAAAATAACATAAGATATTTTATAAAGCTTATACTTTCAGTAGCAATGTAACAAGAAATTGGATATTCCGAATTCCAATTCAACCGCTTGCTTGATAGTTGATACATCTAAATCCGAAAATCAGAACATCATTTCTGAAGAGATCCTCGAACTTCCCACTACCACACTACTAGCATTTTCAAACGATCACAACAATAGCATTTGGAATTAGGAAATTATCAGAAGAAACTCTCACAATTCACCAGTGGATTATAGAATGTCGTTTTCGTTTTTCAAGCAATCGAGGCCTAAAGCCCCGCAGGAATTGGTGAAAGCGATCAAAGATAGTCTAATGGCCCTCGACTCCAAAACTGTAGCTGAAGTTAAGGCCCTAGAAAAGGTCAACTACCCCTTTTCCACCTTAATTGTTTGAGTTTCGCCTCCGTGGAAATTTTATTGCTTTGTGTTGTTTTGGGTGGAATATAATGTTGTACTGATTATGATTGTATTAAGCGCTCCTTTCTTTTTGTTCAGTGTTTGAATGGGTGGAGAAAATGCTATTTTTTGTCAGGATTAGCTAGATATTATGATATTCAATAGGGATAGAGGACTTGTGTCTGAACTTCGAATGTGTATTATATGTGATAATGTTGGTGTAGCTCAAATAGTTTGTTTGATGAGAATTGTGAATGATAATTCTATAGGACTCCAGTTGAAATCATGTAAGTTATAGGTTTGTCTGTTTTGGTACTTGCTCTATCGAATGAATGCAATAACCACATATGTCCTAGTGCTTTGGAGCAGTGAGAGAAATCTTTTTAGATTTTGCTGTTCTCAGCTTAATTGCTTATTTTGAATAAGGCATTGAACACAATAGCTTGCATTTGATCATTTTGTTGTTGTCTGGGGAGGATAATCAGTGTTAATTTACTTTGTCGCCAAAAAAAAAAAAAAAATAATAAGAGCAAACAATGGTTTGAAATGGAATACAAGAACAATCAGCCGAGGGACTACATGTAGCACTGATATGTGATGAATGGAATTAGACTTGTTTCGTGGATAAGCTTTTGCCTCGACTTTGTAAGGATTCTTATGAGCATTGTCAACAAAACAGGAAGTAGCTGAATCCAAGGATTGAAGTTACAATATGTAGTTCTAGGTCTGTTCTCGGTTCACTGGCTGGCTATTCATATACTGATATTGTGCAGTGCTTTGGTCAATGTCTTGACCTTGTTTCATTTTCTGGTCTTCTGGTTATCATGAGATTCATATTTCCTTACTAATGTATAGGCGCTAGAGGAAGTGGAGAAGAATATATCGTCATTGAGAACTATGTTGTCTGGAGATGGTGAGATCGAGCCAAATGCTGATCAGATTGCACAACTGACCCTTGAAATCTCTGATGAAGATGTTATATCTCTTCTTTTTCACAAGCTACCCATTCTGGGATGGGAAGTAAGTTAATAAACTAACAGAGAAAAGGTTATCGATATATACAGATTGTTAGTTTGTCATATTTGTGCGCTTCACAATTGCATGATATCTTCATGCAGACTAGGAAAAACATTGTTCACTGTTGGTCTATATTGCTGAAGCAAAAGGTTGATTCAGTGTTTTGCTGCGAACAATATATGGAGAAACATCTGGAGTTGCTCGATTTTCTTGTTGTTTGGTATGAGCCTATAAATGCATTTTACACAACTTCCTCTCTCTCTCTCTCTCTCTCTCTCTCTCTGTCTCCCTCCCCCCTTCTTATTTTTTTTAAAGAAATATAAGATCCAATTTGGTTACTTACCTGGTTATGATTTATGCAATCTAAAAGACGGGTTGCTTAACTATGAACTAAAACTATTAGCAAGTGTGCTTGAATAATGTAGAATATTAAATTATCACACTGGTTACATTATATGATTGTGGGAATCATGCATAATTTTGTCTTTTCTCCATGTATGTGAATTTAAAAATTCCTCTCCTGTCCTGTGTCTGTGATACATCAGATGACTGAAGCTTTCCCTATAACATTGCTTGATAAAATTAGCTAAAACTGAAAAGGCCTTTCCATAAAAAAAATTCCTTTTACAACAATTGGCAATCCATTCTGTAATTCAATTCATCCGCTCTCATGGGAAAAATGGCCTTAAATTAAAGAAATGCACTGCATGCAATAGCATAAAGACAGATTGATAGGCTTGCGACTGAGATTATGTGCATAATTCTGCTTCACTTGTATAGTCCCCTTTTTTCTTTTTTTTTTTCTTTTTTTTTTTTTCTTGATTTTGGTGCTTGTTTTTTGCTCCATCCTCTTAAAGCTCTTGTAGAATCATCACTTTTGACTATTGTGTTGATACATTGTAGTATGTAAGGTTATTTAAAAATGATGCTAGATATTTGAAATATAATGTGAATTTGACAAACAGCTACGATAACAAGGAAATTGCTCTGACCTGTGGACACATGCTGAGGGAGTGTATCAAAATACCATCTCTTGCAAAGTAAGCGGGCATTTTCCTTTAGCTCTTTGTGTTCTCGTAAAAAGCTGACTTGTTTCTTTAGCATGGAAAGTGATTATCCACGAATATGTGTAAAAATTAGAACCGTAGAAAGCTTGTTTCTATATGCTGCTTTTTTACACCAAGTTGCATATTTTTGTTTCAGATACATATTGGAGTCTCCCAGTTTTGAGTTGTTCTTCAAATTTGTTGAGCTGCCTAATTTTGATGTTGCCTCTGATGCATTCTCTACATTTAAGGTCAGATCTTTTATATGTTTGTTCTTCTATGAATTGTGGCAATATGTTTCTTTCTTTCTTTTTGTAATCAGCTCAAATCACTTTTTTGGTGTTATTTTCTATATAATTATATGCCAGGATCTCCTTACTAAACATGCAACGGCAGTTTCTGAATTCCTGACCAGTCACTATGATGAGGTATTGCCAGATTTACCCGTAGTATGCATGAATTATTGTATCGTTAAACTCACATAATCTCAGAAGATTTTTTTTTTCTATTTATATAATGTTACTAGTACGACAATTACACGGGTGATTGATAAAAACGGATGTTTAATAAAAAATAAATATTTTTTTTATATTAGTTGAGGACATTACAAGAAAATTATATTCAAATATAGAAATTTAATTGTGTTATAAAAATCCATATTATAACTTCCATTGGAAAATTTTAATGTATCAATAGTTCTGGTTAGGTTTTATATCTGTTTGATAAAAGCAATTGTTTTTGTTGTAGTAAATACAAGCATGTGTTTTAAATTGTGAAAATCCTCCCTATTTATGATTCTCGAATGTGCTGAGCATAAGTGGCAGACTCGCTCGCTTTAGAATCCTATGTGGCAAATTTTTAAGCTTTGTTGTTTGGCTTGGATGAATTTTATTTTATTTCCAATTCAAAAGTAACTAGGCTCTGAATATCCATAAATATACTGTTATGGTCCTTTTTAAGAGCATTAATTATGTTCTAACATCATTTCTTCTATATACATGGTTTATTAGTTATAATTTTTTTCACAATCTTTTTTTTTCCTCATATTTCTTTTTGAATTATAACAAATTTACGAACTTAAATTATAAATATATTTAAAAGTCAATAAATTTTTTATTTATTAACAATTTTTTACATATAATATATCAAATTAATCATGGTTTGATGAACTTCGATTTGACATATATATTATACCTACAAAATAAATAAATATCTTTTTATATTTATAATTAAAATTAAATTATCTATTAATACTAATTCGAAAAAATAAAATTATGTAAACTAACTTAACTATAAACAATTATATGGTAAGTCTTGTAAGTGGCGGTGTCATTTTAAATACAAATAATAATATATTTTTTCAATAAAATATTTAAAAATTAAAACAATTTTTGTTGTTATTATTATTTAATTTTTAAAATAATTTTCTTAACAAATACCAGTGTAGTACACGGGTATTGTACTAGTACCATGTGAGAGATCAATCTATATCATTTCAAAGCGAATTTTCGGGTAGTTTTGAATAAGTTGAACCAAATGTGCTCGCAACTCACGCGTATTCCTCATGTTTTATTATCAGTGGTTTTATCATCAACTAGCGTGTAATTAACTCTCTCTTCATACATGTCTCTGTTACATGTCAGGCTCGTTACATGTCAGACTCAGCACTCGCTGTTTAGATAGCTAACAAAATACAGAAATCAAGCACAACCAAAAGAATAAGCATTCATAGAGAAATATATCAGTTTGGACAATATTCTTTGTATATTCCATTTAAAATTGTGAAAGGAAAGATAATATATATGTAATACTTCACTATGAATGCTTGTATGATGAAAACAAAAAAGTCGCATATCCTTACCATTTTTTCTCACTTTTTTCTGGGTAATTATGTATCAAGATTAAAACAAAAGAATTTTTCCGATAAGATACCTCGATAACAACTAATGAGAATATGAAAGAGAATGAAACATAGAAAAGAGATTTAAGTGAGATTTAGGTAAAAAATATGAAATAGAGATTTAATTGCATGTTGTTATTCCACATAAAAAAAAAAAAAAGGAAAAAATAGAGGGATTGGAAGGAGAGATTAAAGACAATCAAATTCTTGATGGTATTTTCAAAGCATAGTTTGCTTCAATTGCCAACAAGTTAATACCTATCCAAGTCACATTTACGAAGCATGTATATTTGCCACATAGGTCCCCGAAGCGTGCGAGCTTGCCACTTAGTCTCAAGGAATTATATATAGGGGGATTCCAATAAGTATATCTACTGCAGCATGTGTAGATTGTCTAGTAATAATTTGATCTCCATTTTTTACATTCAGCTTATCATAAGAGATTTTTGTTCCTCCCTTCTCAGTTTTTTGAGCAATACGAAAAACTTTTGACATCTGCTAATTATGTGACGAGGAGGCAGTCTTTGAAGGTTTGTTCTTCTGCAAGTTTCTCTAGCTTCCTTCTATCATTGCTTGTGTTGCATTAATATGTTACTTTTGATGAACTTTAGCTTCTCTCGGACTTTCTTCTGGAATCACCTAATTCCCATATAATGAAACGGTACGTTGCAGAGGTTCACCACTTAAAAGTCATGATGACATTACTGAAGGTACTATACAGTACGTTTAATTTTCTAATTCCTTATAGGTTGTTTTATTATTATTATTATTTTTTTTTTTAGTGATTGGTAGGCCAGTCTGGGCGTTGCATAAAAGAATCTACTCTATTCAATTTTCACGTTTTTTTTTAGAAAAATGATCGCAAGCCTATGGCGTGATTTGAATCTTACACGTTTTCATTTGTGTTTGAACTTTTTGAAAGTGGTATGGGTTGTGAGCACATATGAAGCCCAGTGAAGCGTTAACAAATCTGATGAATTAAAATCTTGTACAGATGCCTTGTGTAATAGAGTCAAGGGTGATTCGAAGGAAGAAAATGAATCTGAAAATATTTATTAACTGAAATTCAAAGAAACATGTAGAAAACAATGCATCCGAGCCTACCCCAAGTGCTAATGCATGATCAAAGATTGCTTTATTATTTCTGAAGCAAAAGTCCTACCCATACCTTTATTCTAACCCTAATTTACATAATGAAATAGAACACAGATGCATAACATTACAGTGCCCTGCTATATATACCTCATTATTTTAGATAAATTTTAGTCACCTATTATTTTAGATAAATTGCTATGGATTTCTCTTAAAGCTTGTGAGTATCATTTACTCAAATCAAGATTTTTTTACAGGATTCCAGCAAAAACATCCAATTATCTGCCTTCCATATTTTCAAGGTAATAACATGCTCACTCTCTTACTAGTATTTCTATTTTTCCTTAGAAATCGCTTGCTTCTCGTGGATATGTTTTCATCTTAAGAATCCTATTAAGAGTGTCATTTTTTTCCTTCAATCTCAAGAGTCGACTTCTGTTTTCGATGGTTCACTCACTGGTTATTGAGTCAAGTAGTTTGATTTAATAAGAATCAACAATGTTTGAGAATCTTCAGTCTCCCTTTTTGCTTTCCTGCTTTTCTTTATTCACATGCACATGTTGGCGTTATCCATTGGCACACTGTCTGAAAGATTTGGTGGTATAAATGAAAGAGGTCGTATACTGATTTATTTGCAGCTTTTAGCATTTGATATTCTCTCTCTCTCTCTCTCTCTCTCTCTCTCTCTAATCACATATTTAACTGCTACTACTTCTTCTGCAGGTTTTTGTAGCCAACCCAAACAAACCCCGAGACATAAAAGTGATCCTGGCAAAGAACCATGAAAGACTTTTGGAACTGCTCCATAGTCTATCTCCTGGCAAAGGTTAGCAGACTTGATTTCGGCTTAAAAACTTCTTTTTCACTCTGGTCAAGATTTCATTCATTATGGGGTCACTGCAGGAGCTGAAGATGATCAGTTTGAAGAGGAAAAGGAACTCATAATCAAAGAAATCGAGAGAGTATCTCGCCTTCCAAACCTTGAATCTTAGGTATAATCCCTCCAGTTTTTATTTAACTCCATGCATTGATTGAGCTTGTGTAACAGTGTGTTCTTATTATTTCAGACTTAGTATATTTGAGGTAGCATCCCCCTCACAGAAATGTAAAGTTGATTTTCGTGCAACAAGAAATGTACAAACATTTTACCTTTAGACAACCTAATCTTCATGTCATCTTTCAATTCATCATGTGAAAATGACAGTTATTTCGTGTGGTTTGAGCTCGCATCCCCTCTCTCTCTCTCTCATTTGTTTTCTTAACC